ATTATTTTCATGTAAGGGATCTCCCATAAATAATGTAAAAAAAAAAGGTGCTACCTGTGCATCTAAAAAAATGATACTATTTTTATATACAGGGTGTCCCAGAAGTTCCTATACACGGTCCCTATTTTTTATGTGATCTTATATATAGAAATCACGATAATTATTTATGCAAATATGTAAATAATCATAATGAATTCTATATAATATATAGAGATCATTATGATTATTTACATATTTACGTAAATAACTATCGCGATTTCTATTGATCTCTATGTATAAGGTCATATAAAAAAAAGGGGACCGTGTATAGGAACTTTTGGAACACCCCTGTATAATAAACGGTGGCTAAGAAATCATTGATACATATTATATAAATGATCACTAAAAAAATCAGTGACTAATTGACATATTAGGTGACCACATATAGGTATTATATCGAGGAGCCTTAGTAATATGATTATAAATCGTAAGGATAAATAATTTTGAGTATTCGATATCACAAATAATATTTATAGCCGACTCGACCGTCGACTAATATCGACTAATATCATACTTAGGAACAATGAAATGCATTTGCAGCACATTTCTACATACTCACTGTTCTTAAGTGTGATATTAAAGTTGACCAACGTTGATTATGCTCTGACTAACGTAAATAACATTTATTTTATATAGTTTTTTGGTTTGTTTTTTATTCTCATGCAAGAAATAAATATAAAATCACTTAAATTCGAAATATAACTGAATAGTCTATAATAACTAGATACAAATAATTACATCAAATATTACAATAGTGTATTATTCACACATTTAATGGTGACCATAAATACATAAAGCGGATGAATAATTACAAAGTGGTAGTGGAATATGTTGAATCAACAGGAACATTAGAACTGACTACGTTTCCTAAATCAGGTGGTGTAGATGTCATTGTGTTAATAATGTTCGTATCACTAGCATTCATTTGTGTTTCAGCTATAGCTCTTATTACTGGTGTTGTCTCTGGATCAGGAGCGACATCTGTATTTGTATTATGAGTTATTATTTCATTACCAGAAGGGTTAGCTATTGGAGTTGTTGTATTTATGCCTTCCACTTGGTTTTGTATTGAATTAGTTGCAGACTCTGCTGCTGCTGCTGCTGCTTTGACTGCTTTCTTTTTTTCTTCTTCAATTTTTTTTTCAGCTCTTTCAAAGATTTTCTACAATTTAACAATATCATTTCAATTTAAAGATATAAATATAATAAGAATGTTTGATATTTTGACCTGACTCACAAACTTGCATACCTTTGCGTAGCAATCAATATTGAATTTAAAAGGTTTTTCACCAAAATTAACAGTCACACTTTCATTTGGACTTTCCATTCCACACATTGGATACATCTCACCCATAATTTTATCTTTAGTTTGTGTACCTAAATTTATAAAAATCAATTAATTAGTTATAATTATTAATAATAAAAATCATAATATACAACTTACCAAATGGAAAACCTTCAAAACTTAATTGTAATTCAATTCCTAGAATTACACCATTCTTTGTGAAAAAAATATGTTTCTCAAAAAAATTGATACCACATCCAACAGTTTCACCCGTAGTATAAAGTGGACCAAATTTTACACCACTTCCACGTTCACAATATAAATGTCCATCATCTCCATGATAACCTATCGTATCTGGCTCCCATCCTATTCATTCAAAATTTTTTCAATATTACTTATAAATTAGAAATTAAAAAGTGCAAATTTATAATGTTAAACCAAACCTGGCATTCTATTGAGACGAGTAGCTGGCTTACTTAGGCCAATTCCAATACATCTAAAAATTAATTAATTGACATTTGTTTGTACCATACTAGTATTAAAGATTAAAAAAATTTATTTGCATCAAGGATTAAAACCTTACCCTCGATCTCCGCGATCTATAATAGTCATTTCATAATAATACAAGCCAATCTCAGGATGAATAGGGTGATTCGCTCTGATTGAAGCAGCATCTACCCAATTTCTACCCGGACCATCATATTTAACTGTTAAATTTTTGTCATCAATAATTGCAACATAGGATGAGCTATCTGCTGGATTCCAGTGAGTTGGTAAAGGAACCCGAGAATATAATCTTTTATTATCTTTGTATAAAGGACTATCACGAAGATAACTTGGTAAAAAACTATCAGCAACCATTTTTGTTTTAGTTATATTTGAAATAATTTAAAAAGAAGACAGGAAAAAAATTGGCTTTATAAATTGTTATTTCGTGTCGTAATTTGCGCAGAAAGAAGTAATAAATTTAGGAGAGAGTACATAACTGTTTTATACGTAATACATCATTCCATGCAAAAATGGTGACACAAAGGTTTTATGATAATTCCGAGATGCGTTAGCTTTGTCATTCACAGAACACAGCCATATCACAATATCATTAATGAGCCGTAAACCCGGAGCTTGAAAAGGCTTTAACTCCGTCTGAAAAAAGTTTTAACTCCGTTATAATAAACATAATAAAAATGAATGCGCAGTTCTTGAGCACAAATATGGCATTGTCAAGGTATTTTTAGCTTTTATTATATCAAAACAATGTTTAACATTTTTTGTCATTCCCGATCCGTCATTAAGGGATTGTCATAAGTTTATGTGGTGTTATCATTAATCAAGCACGTGTGAGGACCTGTATTAAAAATTACTGCGTAAGGATTCTTATTAACCAAATATATTCCGCATTACATCAATTTTTTGGCGCATATCATTATTAATTACGCCACTTACATCAACTTACTACTAGAACAAAGTCATTTGTGTGAACGTTCAACAAATTGTTCACCTGATTTCTTTAAAGGTAACTTTTGGTCTAATTGCACCTACATAAATCACGTGTAACATTATTGTGAACACAAAATATTAGCAATCGCCAATTGCAGTCTATTCGACGGTGTTGGGCCTTTTCAGCGGTTCACACATGTATGTATAAATGTATTTTTTTGGTTAATGTATGCAATACATGAACTGCTGAAAAGGCCAATAATAATCATAAGTCACGTGTTATCCAACAATCATTGTTACGATAGGTAACGGAGAGACGAGGTTCGAAGGCTGGGTAAAAAAAGTTATTTTTTCGAATTCTAGTTGTACAGTATATTGCATGTAAATCATGATCTATTCTGCAACTTGAGTTCCTCATCCCGACGATAGCACTTATGGAGGATATACTTACCGTCCCCCCTCTTACAAACCATCTTACGTTATTTTATGTTAGTTAAACAAAGAATCAAGCTAGTCTAGATAAGTTTATAAAAGCACCAGAGTAACCAACAATCGAGAACGCAGTCACATATTTTCCGACCAACAAATTCGGGCACGTGAGTGGCTGTTGCCGTGACGGAGACTTGTTACTAGTGTTCCAAATCGTTAGTTGAAAAATCGAATAGTTGACAACTTTTCAACTAACCGATTTAAAAAAATTTTTTTAATCAACTAACCGATTTATTATCAACTAGTTCGATTACAATTAATCGTTAGTTGTCAACTAACCGATTGCATATATTAATCAACTAAACAACTAGCGCTACGTAGCAAGGTTCCAGATATAATTAATATTTACACTCACAAAATTAAATTATTAAGATAGGAATTTAGATTGGATCATTAATTATCTTTAAGATTTAAAAAAATTAAATCTTGTACCCACCAAATTTTATTTCGGTTTGCAGATCAAAAATAATTCTTATAAGATTAAATTTGGTGCAACTTTTAAATTTTTTTGCTTATGAGATTCGATGGTTAAAGTTGGATATAAATAAGGTGCAGGTCTACCTCCATGGTAAACGTCACGGCTATACGTCACATTTTTAAAAAGAGACGTATGTCGTATGTACGTATATTCGTATGTCGTATATAGTGTCCCGTATGCCGTCTATTGTATCCATGCGGGTAAAATTATGATTTTTTGATCACTTCTAGCATGCTCTATAATGTTAGAACACTTTTTTCTATATATGCACCTTAACTATAATCGTTTGATATGGGTGATATGCTTGACATGACTGCCAATCTACGTCATGCTACATCAGTCATGTCATACATAATACTACATCAGTCATGTCATACGTCATAATACAATAGTTACGTCAAACATCAAATGTCACGTCACGTCGTTTACAGTACAGCGCTGCATATAGTATCCCCGGTCTTTTACAAAAAATCAAAGATTAATTAAACAATACTCCGGGAGTGTGAAGATACAAGGGGGTATACTGAAGATAGTAAATTGATCATATGAGTTGATCGTATAATCAAGATTTTTTTATACATACGTACGTACGTACGGTGCAGGAAATTTAAAAACCTCAATCTCCATTTTAAGATGTTGCATAAACTAGTAGCTCATTGAGAATAAATTTCTTAAATTATCAATCTCAATAGAGTGATGGCATAGAAATAATGCGCCAAGAATAATATGAATAATATGTACGTACTTAATAGGAACTGATTTATGCATACAGTTGAAACTTAAAATAAGTCGCTACTGAATTTAGCTTATCTTCAATGTGCTGGTCGTTTTTTGTTCTATATAAAGTGATTGAGGTTTTTGCTTATTTCTTATCAACTTCCATAAAGTTGAAATCAAATATTTCATAAATTATTGACTTCAATAAAGTATTTATGTACGCACTTTATTGATGCTAACAATTTAGGAAATACCTTGTTTATGTTGTAAGTGGGAATGGAATTAAGTGGATTCGGAATTTCCAAGTTAAATTAAGGTTAGGGTAAGGGTGTATATGTTGTAAGTGGATTCGGAATTCTGTAGGTTCCGAATCCACTTAAGTGGATACCGAATCCACTTAATTTGATTTGGAATCTTAAATCAACATGGTGGAAATAGAATTTTTAAAAACCATCGATTAAAATTTAGTTAATAAAAATTATTTATTAAAAAATATATAACTAAATAAAAATTATATATTATTTATTTTTACATTTTGTACTATGTGGATGACAATTACTTCCACATGGCATACCAGAGCGTTTACATTTACAATTATTATTTTTGCACTCGCTTTTACAATTACAATGTACTCCAGTTATGGTTGACATTGATTGCATTCTTGCAGCTTCACGTACGCTAATAACTTTATTTTCACAAATTTCAAGCTCTTCATATTTGGTTGGACCCAGTGGCATAAGTTCATTCGCATTAAAAGCTACATCAAGAATTCCATTTTTACATTGCAAACGGTACATCTTGTCAGGTAATTCTTCAATTACTTTACAAGGTAAAGTGTGCCGGTCAACATGGTTACGATCTATTTTCGGAACTGCAATACAGACGTATTCGTTAATAGAATATTCAAGTTTGTGTTTGTTTTTCTTTAACATTTGGTTTTTCATTCGATCCCGGTAGCTATCAAGTGATTTATTTGCATATTCGCGATAAAGTTGGTGTGACTGGTACGTATCAAAAAAAAAAAAAAAAAGAGATATATGATATAATAGTTTTAAAATAAATAATAAATAATGCATTACATGCATAATATAAATTTATACATTATTGTTTTTTGGCATCGTTAAATTTGGTAATAATGATTCAGTTAAATATGATTTTGAAATTTTTGGACTTGGTAAAAGTTCAAATGAATTCAGTGAAGATTCAAATAAAATTGACAATGAAAGTTCGAATGGAATTGGTGATGAAGAATTAATTGGAATTGGTAATGAAGGCTCAAGTAGAATTGGCGATGAAAGTTCGTATGGAATTGGTGATGAAAGATCAATTGTAATCGGCGATGAAGGCTCGAGTGGGATTGATGATAAAGATTCAATTGGAATTATTGATGAAGGTTCGATTGGAATTGGCGATAAAGATTCGATTGGAATTGGTGATGAAGGTTCAAATGGAATTGAAGATGAAAGTTCAGGTAGGCTTGATGATGAGAGTTCGGTTGAAGATAGGGATTCAGTTGAAACTAGTAAATATGATGAATATTTCATTAATAAAATTTAGAAATATAAAGATTCGAAAAATAATTAAATTACCATTATTAGTATCTTCGAAAAAATTATCAGGTAACTCTTCCTCATCTACTATATTTTGATTATTTAAATCTTCAAGTATTGAAAAATGTTGAATTGGATCTTGCCCAAATACGAGTGAATATGGAGATTTTCCAGTGGGACAACTTGTTTGTATATTCATTGCATCTAATAAAAAAAAAATAATAATAAAAAAATAAAAAAAATTATTTATAATTATAAAATAAAGACTATAAATACTATACCTGATACATACGTATGATTAAAGGTAATCCTTCGGTCCAATTATTTGTAGAATTATCCTCCATCCACTTTCCAAGCTTAACTTGTAAAATTCCATTGGCCCTTTCAACCAATCCTTGTGATTGTGGATGTCTGGAACGTCCATTTATGATGCGTACGCCAGGCCAAAGGGTCATTAATTCAGAAATAAGTTCAGCTGTAAATTCTTTACCATTGTCTGATTGTAAAATCAGAGGTGCTCCAAATATGACAAAAATATCATATAGAAAGATTGCCACCTCGGAAGCACGCTTGCTAGTAAGACACCGGGCCCATGAAAAACGTGTAAAATGGTCATGGGCGTGACAAATATAACTATATCCATTAATAGGTTGGAACGTTAATCCTATTAAATCGACTTGAACACGAGACAGGAACTTTGATGCTACAATTGGTTTTGCAGCAAGAGAATTAGGAAATAATTGGCGTGTAGCACAGGTTTTGCATGCCCCGCAAAATTCTCTGATAAATGATTGTGGAATATAGTTATATTGTTTTCCAATCTAAAAAAAAAATTTATTAATTAGTTGTGCTGCATTGCCGAAGGTGTGCCATATTAGGTTTAGCAAAAAACGAATCCGTTTGTTGCTAAATTAAATAAATAAAAACTTGCAACGTCCCACATTTTGGATGCTCCAACATGTTTTAAAACGCCTACATGAATCTTACATAATATATCGTAAAGACGATTAAAAGGGCATATGGTACGTGTCAATTCTGATCCATTTCCATTTTTCGTAACAGTAATAATTTGAGTAATTGGATTTGTTTCGGTTTCTAATTCTCGAAGTTGAAAAGAAGTTTTAATCCAATGTCGATCCTTAGGGGTTCCCAAGTTTACATTATTAGGTTCGTGAAGTACAGAAATAATAAGGTCGTAATCAGCTTGTGAAATAAATGTTTTACGACGTCTACTTAATGATTTTCCTTCAAGATATTTATTAATTAAATCATTAAATGTTTGTCTTGAAATAAATGTGTATTCTTCTGGAGTTGCCATTTTTCGAATAGAAAAGAATTAAAAAGATAAAATAATCATTTATTCGATTACATTTAAATATATTTTAAATACGTATAATCATTGATTAATCAAATAATTTGGGTAATCATTAAATTCCATCACCACATAAGTCGTTTTAAGATCCGATTCCCACTTTAGTGGATTCGGAACCTACAGAATTCCGAATCCACTTACAACATATATATGATAAAATCAACCCCAAAGTGCTGGGTTTATATAAAAATTCCACTTACAATATATGTATGATAAAATCAACCCCAAAATGCTGGGTTTATATAAAAATTCCGTTTCCGCTTCCACTTACAACATATATATTTACACTGCTATATAATAATACTGATACATTATGTTTATTTAAGTTTGCTTTATAATAATAATAATAATAATTATTATTATTATTATTATTATTATTAATGAAAATTTATATAATATTGGTCATGGCCGGCCGATAGGATCAACATTTAACATTCTAACAACCGCTAAAAAAATATATTTTACGACGTACGTACAGTACGTAATTTTTACATTTTTTATCTATCAAATACTAAAATTTACGTGAAAAAGCCACAGCCACTCACGTGCCCGACCTTTTTTTCTCAGAAAAACCTTCAATAACGATAGAATTTTTTTTTTTTTTGAAAGTAAATGCGTTGATCCAAAATATGTAAGTAATAGATAAAAAATACAGAGATACAATTTATATTGCATACGTCAAATAGAAAATTGCACTTT